TTTAAAAATATTTATTGGACCCTTGCCATGTCCTCATGATAGTTCCTGCCACTGGGAGGCTTACTGACTGGCTGGGAGAGATGAGTAACATTTGCGTGAATCCTTCAGCCAGACTGACCTAGTGTCTGGGAGCTCCAGGTCTGGAGGGACACATGTCCAGGATCCCAGCATAATCTGAAGCAATTATTGGGGTGATTATATATGACAGTGACATTTATAAATATATAGCTTTATCTTAGTTTCCTCATCTGTAAAACAAAGGTGCATATCTCATAGTGCTGTGAGCATTAAAAGAATTAATATATCTAAAATGCTTGGCATAGGCATATGGTTAGTGCTCAACAAATATTACCCATTGTTATTATTGCCACCAGATAAAGGAAGGGCTTGGAATATTGCACGGGAGCTTTTAGGCTACAGGTCTGAACTGCCTTACATCAATCACTTGGCTCATATTCTATTAGCCAAGGTTCTGTCACATGTCCTCACCAGTCTGAAGGAGAGGCTGGAAAATATAGCTGGGCCTTGCCCAAGAGGAAAAGGAAATGATTTTGTGACCACACATGTTCTCTCTGCCATTGTCCCCAGGGACTTCTATCTTGCCATACCCAGTGGATACCTTTTTATCCTCACCTTACTCTGTCTCTTGTGGACTTTCCAAAGGACCAATCACAATCCTCCCTTTCGGAATACTCCCCTTTGTAAGTCCATTTTCCTGGCTTTCTTCCCTATTTTGGCTGCTTCTGTTTCTTTCTCCTCTACCCGTCTTTTAAATGGCGGGGGTGAGCATGGAGGGGTTGTTCATCATGAGTTTTTGCTTTCTCTCTCTCCCTCCAATCTCCATGAAAACTTCTTGTGTATAGCTCCATTAAAATTTTTTTTAAATATATTTTTCAATAGAGATGAGGTTTCACCATGATGACCAGGATGGTCTTACACTCCTGGGTTCAAGTGATCCACCTGCCCCACCTTGGCCTCCCAAAGTGCTGGAATTATAGGCATAAGCCACCATGCCTAGCCAATAACTCCATTTTTAAATCTCACTGCTGAGTACTAGACTCATATCCACTGCCCACATGATGCCTTCATTCAAACATTTAACTCAAAATTAACATTTCCCAAACTGAGTTCATAATTCCTTCCAGCTCCCAGCAGGGTCAACAGATTGCTCTTCCCTAAATATCCCCGCTTCGCATGCTCACTCACCCAGTTGTTCGACCCACATCTTAGAAGTTAATCTTGATTTTTTTCTCTTCTTTCTTCTCCCTTAACTTCTGTCACAGATCCACCAGCAAGACCCATGGACCCAGGTTCAAAATATACCTGGAATTGACCTACTTCTCTTCTACTATCGCACACCAAGCCCTCATTATCTTCTATTTAGATCATGTAATAGCGTTCAAACTGGTTTCACTTCCACTGCACCCCCGCCACCTCCGACCACACACATTCACCACACAGCAGCCAGGGTGGTCTTTGTAAAACATGGATGGATCGCATCACTTCTCTGCTTAAACTCCTTCGACAGTGCTCAATTACACTCAGGAGAAAATTCACCTCTTTCAACACAGACTTCAAGGGTGATCTCGCCCCTGTCTATCTCCCTGACTCATCTCCTGCTGCCCTTCCCTTTGGGTTGCAGGCAGGAGATTGGCCAATGTATTCCATATGATGTCTCTAAAGAGCTTACACTCTAAATGAGGCACAGGTCTAATTTAGAGAAAGCTTGTCAACAAACAGCCATGCTGCAGCTGTTTAGGTGCAAACCTAAATGCTACGGGTAGAAAGAAATGGGGGGGCTGAGTGTGTCTTGCAGAACAGCTAGAGTAGAAGGAACCAAGACTGTTGTGTACCATTGTGCACTCAACACGTGGCACAGTGCCTGGCATAAGACAGGGGTCAATAAATACATATGGAGCAAATGAATGACATATACAAAAAATGAAAATGAATGAGTGACAGTCCTGCCTTACTGGAGCTCACAGCCTGGTGGGGAAGGCCAACTAATAAACACTTGGTGGTAAGACACAGGATGGCAGGATATATTCAATGTACTCTAAAGGGTACATGGGCAGGAACTATCAACTCAGCTTAGAGAAGGGTCAGGGAAGACTTCAGTCAAGGAGGTGACACTTAGCTGAGACTGAAAGGATAATTAGACGTGAGTCCAGATGAGATGCAGGAGACAGGAATCTCAGGCTGAAGACGCAGTGGTGCAGGCAGATGAAGCATGGGGCTCACTGCTGGCGGGGGCCACTAGAGAACCAGATGTGACAGTGTGGAACCAAGCATCAAACTCTGTGTCACAGAGCACAGGCCTCTATGAAAGGAGAAGGTTAAGAGCACTGGTTGGCACATAGTAGGTTGTCAGCGGACGTTGGTAGAAGGATCGCCTGCTGGATTACTAAAGGCAATGTAGAACAGATTTGGGTGGGTCTTGAAATGTAAAAACCACAGCCTAAATGGAAGGCAATATGTTAATATAGGTCATAATTAACATTGAAGAGAAGATAGTCACCAATGACGTGAGTCACTCAGGAGGAGCAGAAGCCAGGTGAATAAAGAGGTATGTCCGCTGGGCATGGTGGCTCATACCTGTAATCCCAGCACTTTGGGAGGCCAAGGTGGGTGGATTACTTGAGGCCAGGAGTTTGAGACTAGCCTGGCCAACATGGTGAAATGCCATCTCTACTAAAAATACAAAAATTAGCTGGGATGGTGGGTGCCTGTAATTCCAGTTATTCCGGAGGCTGAGGCAGGATAATCGCTTGAACCCAAGAGGCGAAGGTTGCAGTGAGCTGAGATTGCACCACTGCACACTCTAGCCTGTGTGACAGAGTGAGACTCCATCTCAGGAAAGAAAAAAAAAAGATATGTCAAACACTCCAGCATGCCATGCTGTCTGGCCCTGCCATGATGGGTGAGAGGAAGGAGAAGCAGAGGGAAGACTTCTCGACTTTTGACTTCTTTGTCTGCTGTGTGGAGGCTGCCTGGGCTCTGCCTGCCCTAGCAGCTGCTGTCCCTGCCTCCTGGGGGAGGGTGGGGCTTGGGAGGTGCTCCCAGGAATGCTGGTCCCCAGAAGAGGTAGCTTTGCTTGTGGTCTGCCAAGGTGGAAGCTGGGGTCTCAAACATCTGCCCCTCCATGCTTCTTCTTTGCCCAGATACTGCAGGGACAAAATCACTGGGACTTTGCAGTCTTCAGAAGTCTGCAAGACTAGGGTATTCAAACTGAGTGAATGTCTGCCTGGAAAATGTTTGTCCAGGTGGAACTGGTGACTGGGAACATGCTGGGTAGTTCTGAAAGACAGAAAGACAGAGCGGGACAGTCTTGGGGAATGTGGGAGGCATGGGACAGTCCCCTTCTATGCTCTAGAGAAGGATAAAGGATGTGAATGATCTTTGGGTTTCTCTTCTTTTTAAAATCCTAGCCCTTCCCACACCGCCCTGCATATTGCCCACATGTCTCATCCTGGTGGTCATAACCGTGTCAGGGGAGGTTGAAAGCATCAATAGATAATACAAATAGCTAAGCTTCTACTGAGCTAGCTATTGTTCTAAAGCCCCAATTGACTCGTTCAGTCCCCTCCACAACTCTGAGGTAGGTTCTTTTCCCATTCCCATTCTACACATGGAGACCAGGGCTCAGAGAGCTGAAGCAATTTGCTCAAAGTCACACAGACAGGAAGTCTCAGAGCCAGGATTGGAAGCAGGCAGTGTGGCTCCTGAAATCACTTGCTCTCGGGGTGACTCTGAGGCAGAGAGTGGAGGAAGACTCTCAAGTCTGACGAAACCAGTGAAGGCTGTGGCCAAGTGGTGGTTGTTGAAGCTGTGTTCACTGCCAGGTTCAGAGAGCCTTGATCTGGGTGCCAGGAGGATCCTGGCTCTGTTGTGTGGGTGGAATGCACTCGGCAAACACCCTATGATTGCAAAACCTTTTTTTTCTCATTAGTGGGAAAATGATCACTAATCCACAGCAACGTGAGGAATGAACGAAGGAGCATGTGCAAAGTGCCTGATGCATACGTAATAGGTGCCAATAAATGTGCTCCTTCTCTCGTGGGTAAAGTTGGCTTCGGGCTAGGCTCAGTCATCCTTTCCATAAATATATTTGGGGGAAATGGAGGCAACAGGCTGGAGCGACATGGTTGGGAGGGGGAAAATGACCCTGAGTGATCAGAAGGACAAAAATAGATCTTAACTAACCTGTAAGAACCCAGTACCTGACAAATGAGAGTTAGTTTCAAAGCAATTGTCTTAGGAGGGTGCACTGCTGTTCCAGGGATGCTCACACTCTGCACCAAACACTTGGATTTTCCTCCCAGGCCAGGCCTGGTGTGATTCCCATGTCAGTGGCGTGCTAGGGAAGGAGCCAGCCCTTTAGGGAAACTGAGTCTCAGAGATAGGAACCACTTGCCGAAGCCACACAGCTACTCAGGGCAAGAGCAGAAGCTGGGGCTTTGATTTCTCCCCTGGAGGTCTCTCCCTCACAGGAGAGCCTCTCATCCTTCCTCAGCCTCACAGGCTACATTGGAGATAGACTATGCTGCTCTCATCTGAGGTCTCGGTTTATTTAAGACTGGCTCACAGTGGCTTTGGACTATTTTCTAAACTAACTAAACCCACCTCAGGAGGAGGAAGCTGGGGATGTCTAGGGGAATGTTCCCATGCATCTGCCTGGCTGTGGCCGGGCTTGTGGTAGAAGCTGAGTGCCCCACGATCACCGCCAAGTGCTGGAATCAAGCATTTGCGTTCCTACATCAGCTTCACACAGAGAACAAGGGCCAGCCTTTTCCTAGTGGAAGAAAAGGGCTGAGGTGAATATTCTTGTACTGGGAGACTTGGGCTTTTCAGAGTCGCCCCAAAAGTTGGTGGGGTGCTCTATGGGAGCCTGTTTAAGATTCTGGAGTCCTTAGTCTAGGCTTGTGAAAGGTATTCCAGAAGCGAGATCCATTCAATTCTGAAGAAATAACCCAGGGCTTTAAGAAACTCCTTCCCGTCGGCCCTCTCGGGACTCTCCTGTGGGTTAAGGTCTGATCTTTGCAGGCCGGGGTGGTTTAGGTGACCCCCGAGGAGCCCTGCTGACACCTGGATTCCAGCTGCTTTCGTGGCCATGCAGGGGTGCCTATGAGCGCCCCGCCACTGAGAGCGTGGGTTTCTGTGTGTGTTGTCGGTGGGAGGCGCGTGAGTGTGGCCGCGTGTGGGCGTGTCTGATGTCCCCGGCTTGGGGCCTCGCCCGCTGCGCCCACTTGTGGCTCCTGGGAGCCGCCAGGGGGAACCGCGCCGTCACCGCCTCTGCCGAGGACGCCGCCGGATAGGAGGCTGATGACATGAGGGCGCCGTCTCCCGAGTGATGGCAGCGCGCGCTGCCTAGCCGCCTCCGCCGCTCAGCCCCGGACTCCTTACGTCAGGGTAGCTGGGTCCCCCCTCCGCGCGGGAGCCAGCGAGCAGCGAGAGAGCAGAGCAGAGCGCGCCGCGGAGTCGGGGCGCCCTTACTGCGAGCAGAGCTCCGCGGAGCCCAGCGGAGAGGAGCCGGGCGGGAGGCAGCGCGGCGGAGCCGGAGCCGGACGCTGCAAGCGGACTCCCCGGCCAGTACAAGCACTCCTCGGCCGGCGCCGGACCCGCGGGGCGCCGGGTTCGTCTGGTGCGCCCCACGCCATGCACGCCGGGGTCCGCGGCTCTCTGGAGCAGCCCCAGCGCGGTGGACCCAGGCTTCTGGGTCCCGGCGCCTGTCGCTGAAGTAGTTGGGTGACCGGGGCGGGGGGTCGCCACGTCGGGGACGCGGCCAGGACCCGCGGAGTCGGCCCCCGAGAGCGGGGAGCGGGGCCGCCCGCGTCGCCCCACCATTACCTCGCCGGGCGGTAAGGAGGAGCTGGTGGCGGTCGCCTCCCGGCTGTGGCAGCGGCGGCGGCGTGCCTGCCTGGCGGCCGTCGGCGTACTCCTGGCCATGGCGCTCGGGCTGCTCATCGCTGTGCCGCTGCTGCTGCAGGCGGCGCCCCCCGGCGCGGCGCACTACGAGATGATGGGCACTTGCCGCATGATCTGCGACCCTTACACTGCCGCACCCGGAGGGGGGCCTGCGGGCGCAAAGGCGCCTCCGCCCGGACCCAGCACCGCCGCCCTGGAAGTCATGCAGGACCTGAGCGCCAACCCTCCGCCTCCCTTCATACAGGGACCCAAGGGCGACCCGGGGCGACCGGGCAAGCCAGGGCCTCGGGGGCCTCCTGGAGAGCCGGGCCCGCCTGGACCCAGGGGCCCTCCAGGAGAGAAGGGCGACACGGGGCGACCCGGGCTGCCAGGGCTGCAACTGACGGCGGGCACGGCCGGCGGCGTCGGTGTGGTGGGCGGCGGGGCTGGGGGAGGTGGCGACTCCGAGGGTGAAGTGACCAGTGCGCTGAGCGCCACCTTCAGCGGCCCCAAGATCGCCTTCTATGTGGGTCTCAAGAGCCCCCACGAAGGCTATGAGGTGCTGAAGTTCGACGACGTGGTCACCAATCTCGGCAATCACTATGACCCCACCACCGGCAAGTTCAGCTGCCAGGTGCGCGGCATCTACTTCTTCACCTACCACATCCTCATGCGCGGCGGCGACGGCACCAGCATGTGGGCGGACCTCTGCAAGAACGGACAGGTCAGTGACCCCTACCCGCACGGGCCTCGCAAACCCTAGTCAGCGCCCTGAACCTCCCAGGGAACCAGCCTTCTTTCTCGCCACCCGCGGGCTACCGAGCGAGCCCCGGGAAGCGCGCCTAGTTGCCACAGCATCTCTGCTTCCCAATGCGCCGAGGCTGCGCTGACCAGGACGTAGTGCCAAACGCTGGGCCTTGAGAGCTCAGAGATCCCCATACCCAAACAGCACTCCTTGGCCACTTTCGTCCCTGCCTGCATTTCCGTGGGCTTCTCGGAAACCTCGGTTCTTTAGCTCCCTCCAGGTCACCCCTTTGTCCTGCAGCCTCCTTTCCCCTTGGCCCTGGCCCTTGGCAGTCCCACCCTTCCACTCTGGGTCAGTGTTCAAGAAGCTTTCCCTCTCCCCCTTCCCCAGACTCGCCGGCGCGAGGAGGAGGGGGCGGGGGCGCCGGGAAGGAGTTGGCTAAGTTGGAGACAGAGCCTGGAGCTGGGGTGGGGGTGTGGACCCTGAAGCAGCAGGCAGAAGGCCCTTGCGTGGCACGCCAGGTGCAGACTGAGCAAGGGCTCGGGAAGAGGTGCCCCGGCTCAACCGCTCCTACTGCTCGCCCCCAGGTCCGGGCCAGCGCCATCGCACAGGACGCCGACCAGAATTACGACTACGCCAGCAACAGCGTGGTGCTGCACTTGGATTCAGGGGACGAAGTGTATGTGAAGCTGGATGGCGGGAAGGCTCACGGAGGCAATAATAACAAGTACAGCACGTTCTCGGGCTTTCTTCTGTACCCGGATTAGGGGCGCGGGAGGAGGTGCGAGGTGGGGTGGCTGCAGGCCGAAGGGTCTCCGCAGGGGCGCGGCTCCTTGGCAAAGGCCACTCCCGATTCATAACACTTCCTGACATCTTCGTTGGAAAAGACACATCCCTGCTCTCCTCCCTGCCCTGCTCCTGGCCTCAGTACGTCTGCTACTCATCATTCTCAGGGCCTTGCTCCTGGTCTCAATCCCCATCCTGGCGAGGGAGGAAGGGACGCCTGAGCCCTTGAGGCAGAGGCACAGACTTTGCAAACCTGATCAGAATGGACAGGCCGGGCCGGGAGCCTGCCCTCCTCGGACCGCCTCCTCCCTTCCCAGAGCCTAGAAGAGTAGGGCTCCGGGCCCTGGCCAAGGGAGGTAGGCCAGAGGGAGCGTGGGCTCCCTGGGGCGTCCTTCTTTGTGACCCGAAACACTTGTGCAGATTTCCCTGTCCGTCAGCCAAAACCCCACCCACAGCAGAATTCCAGCAAACAGAAAATTCACCTCTCCACACCGCACTCCCTCTGACTCAGACTCACCGCGATGCATTAAATTGTTTTTAGACTATGGGTTCTGTTGTCTCTATATCAGCATAGCCCCTGGACCAGGGCTCTAGATGTTCACCTGGGCATAGTGACCTTACCTGGGCCCAGGATAGGCCCATCTATGACCTGCTCCCCAGCTGCTGCCTTGTCCCTGCCACGAGGAGTGGCCAAAAAGACACGGGTAATGGGAGCTGCCTTCCACCCTGAGCTGGAGAGGCCAGAGGTGGGGTTGGGAGGAGGGGAGGAGGCGGGGAAGGGCGTCTGGGGAGAGTTAGAGGAAGGCAGGAGAGGAATGATTGGGTCTCCAGTCTTGGGCAACAGGAGCAACTTAGTCCCAGTAATGGAAGGAGGTCAGCGGGGAGGGGCTTCTGGGGAAGGAAGGGGAAGAGGAGGCATCTATGGGAAATGGGAGGCTTGAGTGACACTTGCCAGGGAGGGATCTGTAGGATGTTTGGCTCCTAAAAGGACGTGCAGAAGTCCCTAGCAGACACACACCCACTCGAGCAGATGGTTCACTCAGCACAGACCCGTTTACTCGCAGTCACCAGGGCCACAGCTCTCCAGAGAGCTGGTAAACTGAGGCAGGCCCGCACATCGTCCAGCTTGCTGAACTCCTCCAGCGCTGTGTGGTGAGGTGGACACTACTCCTTGGGGAGGAACGCCCTTTTCCTGAGGGCTTCCCTTCCCTTAAGCATGTGATGTGGGCACCTGCTCTGAACCCGAGTGTGTGTATTTGGTGTCCCTTCAGCATTCTACACACACACAAGTTAGGAAAACACCCCACACGGTTTTGATTTTTTTCTTTTTAATTTTTGTTGTCAGATCGCTGAGTTACAAAAAGGCCATGTACAAAATAACCAGTGAGCAACCAGCAACCTGTTAGTACTTACTGAGCTCATTTTGACTGGTTGTGTGAAAAGAAATGTGAGAGTGTGCACAAAAAGGAAACCCCAGGGTGTATGTGTATCTGTGTAAAGCTGGAGACTGTGTGTGTGTGCCTGTGTGTGTGCATGTGTGTATCTCCTATGTGGATATAATGTGATTGTCCTCACATAATACACATTGCACATGTACACACACTTGTATTCATAAGACTACGTCAATGTGGTGTGTGACAATGTTCATGGCTGCATTTCTGCCCCCAGATTGCTTTGTGCTCAACTTTAGTTCCTGGAGAATGCTGAAAGCTGTGATTCCCATTTAAAAGACAATTTTACCCCCTGCCTTGAGTCTTGTTGCTGTCGCTATTTCTTTTCGCTCTTATTTTATTTGAATAATGTTTTATTGTCATTCTTTTGAATATGAGCAATGATTATGTCTGCTTTGAGTCCAGGGATAAAGTGCTCTAAGAGAATGGGGGGAAATATATATACATACCACCATTACCTCCCCCAGTTCCAGACCTAATCCCAACCTCAATTCCCCACCCCACCCCACTCCCGCTGATTGTGGATCCCTAACCTAGCTGAGCCCAGGAACTGGGGAGGGCAGAGTCAGGCCCATCTACAGTTGCATAGGTATCAATTTCTGATGCTTTGTTGATTGTATCATCCAGAAATGCGATTAAAACCAAATGTCTGAGACCCAAATGAAGTCTAATTGCTATGGATCTGCAATCCCCAGCGGGTACCTAATCCTTTTTGACTTATTCCTCCCCTTCCTCCGATGAGATGGAGCTTAGACACAAAGCCCTTGGTTTAAATTTCAAAAATTAGAATTGACATGCAGTAGTGGCTTTCCTGGGAGCACGAGGAATTTCTAAGGAGGTGCCCGAACCCAGCTTTATCCTCTGCATTAAGAAGCAATTTGTACTTCTAACAAAACCCCTGCCACTCCCCTTTGGCGAAAGGGCAGTAGAGATGCCCTGCCTGGGTCTGACTGTTCACAATACTTAGACAAATTTGAATCTGAGATTCCTCCATCTGTATTCCCTGGTGCAGCTGGGGATTCTTGCAATTCTAATGCCCGGGCTGCCAGAGGTGCTGCCAGAGGTGTCAGCTGCTAAGAGAATGATGGATTGATGAAGCGGCAGATGGGAGGTACCGCATGGCAGGAGCTAGCAAGCTCAGGAAGAGTCTCTCTGTGTATGCACACCTTCCAGGTCCCAGGCAGGCCCCTCATGGCCCACAAAGATCCATGACACCATCATCTGTCCAGAGGACTCTATTGGAAGGGGGCAGGATGGGGTGGGGTGGCAGGCCTCCCACCATTGTCACTGATGTGGTGGCGTCCATCTTGGAGTGCATGTGGAATGCAAGAAACCATTTGCGACAGATACTTACCCTTGTCTCCAGTCGAGTAGGGACTTATTATCAATTATAATCATAACATGTTAGTTTAATTTCCTAATTGCTTTTGGGCTCCTTTTCTAATTATGTTCTTGGGTTGGGACTATCATACTGGCATAACCCAGAAGCTGGAGAGATATTATTCTGTTCATTTGGGAGGCAGAGAAATTAGGGCTTAGAGAGGTCCATGACTTGCCCAAGTGCACAAAGCTTATAAGAGTCTGAGCTGCAACTTGAACTCAGACCTACAGACTATGCCCCTGTTTGCTTGCACAGAAGGGCAGGTCAACCTCCCAGGGTTCTCAGGCCTTTGAGAAGACAGCACATAGGTGGTGCACACTTCCCACTCCTTCCTCTGATGTAGGGCATGGTAGCAACCCCCAGAGCGTCAGATGAGAACAGCCAGCTTCTTCTTTGGCCCAGGCAGCCCCCCAGAGAGCACCCCAGACAGGGGCTCCCACTTCTGAGGAATCCGGCTGAAAAGCCTGGCCAGTGCTGATGGCCCAGCAGGGCTTTAGGTCACCAACTCCAGATGCTCCGTTTGGACCTGTCTGTCCTGACCAGCAACCTCCTCCTCTCCAGTCCCCTGTCCTTAGGGCCTGCTGACTACTTTCTTCTAGAACAGCTCTCTCATTTCCCCTCAGGATGACACTGGGAGGGGGCCATCCTGCAGGTGCAGTTTAGTGGAGTGAGCATTGGCTGCTTCTGATTGCTGGGAGGGCACTTCCCCATTCCCAAAGCCAGCATCTATGTGACTATCATTTTCAAGACTGCCTAAGTACATGTGATACACACCTGCCCCCGGAAATCCTGATAGAAGTTATGCCTTCTGCTACATTTCTCTCCTGTTTTTGCGAGCAGATGGCTTTCTTGGGCACCCTAGACAAAACATCCGGGTCCCCCTCTGCATCAGGCCACAGTGCCACCACAGAGGGGCCACTGCACAGATTCGTTGCTCCAGACTTCTTTGATCATACAGTTCTATTGGCTAAACAGTTTTTGAGCACTCACATCCCATATATTTATTTAACATATGAATAATTTATATATACCACTGTCAATCTACACTTTTAAATTCTTCCATCTTTTTGTGTTTCTGTTCATCAAAGGACCTGCACATTCAAGTCAGTATCTATACTGCAGCTGGCTAACCAAGTCTGGAAACCAGTTTTCTTTCATTGGAACAAAAAGAGCTAGGGTTAATTCAAGGGTTGTTTCCCTTCAGCTTGCCATTTCCCAGAATCTTAGGCATGAAGAGATGTTCTTTTCTGAGTCACAGGTGAACCTCTGCACTTTAATTCTTAGAGTGCACAGTTTCAGTTTACGTGTTAAGAATATATAATGCATAATTCCTCTCCCCCATTTTAGACTGAAAAAAAAAAAGTTAAAGATCCCAGGTTTTCTTTTTACACCTGATTTGGAGACTGATGTTGGTGTTGGTCCCAACTCAGTATCGGGATGGGCTGGGCAGGGCAGGGTCTCTCTGGAGCCCCTCTCAGTATCAGGGAGGACAAACTCGGCAGATGGAAAAGGGGAACTTTTGGTGAATGTTTTGATCTCTTGTTATATTCTAATTCCCCTCCATGAAGGAGCATGGATCATAGCAGCAATTGAAGTACATGAAATGAGAAGCAGTTTAAACATTTTATCATACTGATTTCAAAAATACACACCAGTACAGAGAATAGCGTGATGAGGCACATGGGCCTGTCATACACTCAACACTTACCTCTCCCAGCCAAGCATAAAAAGCTGAATTTTGATTTTTTAAGACCTCACGATGTGTTAGGAATTAGTGCTAGGGCACATTAGGTCCTCGCAACACCCCTATGAAGGAGGTATGACGAGTTTCATTTTACAGATGAGGAAACTGAGACTCAGAGAGGTGAAATGACTTCCCCAAAGTAAGGGCCCCGACTGCTGCCAAGATCTGTGTGACCCCAGGGCCCAGACCCTTTAGGGAATATGGGTGGAGCAGGGAGGCGAGACCTTAAAAAGACAAACCACAATGAGGATGCATTTCTACAAACAAGATTCCCCATCAAGCATTCTGTGGGTGAAGCCAGTGCCCAGAGATTTTTCTGGAGGCCTTTAAAGGAAGTGCCCACCCTCTCCTAACATTGCAATCAATTGGTTTCCAGCTCCTTGCTCTCCCATGTGCCAGTCATGTTATTTCCCCTACTTGGAACCCTCTTCGCCAGGTTAGCACCCACTCTGAGGCTCAGTTGGCACACGATTTCCAGTAGTCCCGCCCCAACCCTGGTGCTCCACGGCTTCTCTTCTCTCTGCCCTGGGGCCAGAGAGCCCTGCTGAGAGCTTCTCTGCATGGCAGTTACGACACTGTTGTAATCCCGTGTCAGGTGGTCTGTCTTCCCCGTGGACTGTAGGCTTCCCAAGGGTGTACCTGGTGTCTTTCAGCACTTAGAATGGTGCCCAGAACACAGTAGGTGCTCAATGAATATTTTCACAATGGATGGATAGAGGGATGGAGGCACCCTAGGAGATCCTGAGAAGGCAAATCTTGAAAAGATGTTTTGACCTCACAGTGGAATCGTAGGGGGTCTTCCCAGCAAGCTGAATCACTACCTTTTAACCAATGAGTCTCCATCTACCCCACACTCTCACTCCCAGCCCTGAGTTTGTAAGGTCTGGGTGAAAGGGGGCAGATATATGCAAAAGTGCATTTATTACAACCTTTGGGCCCCTGGTTACACCTCTAGGAGTTATCAGAAGCAT